ATTTAATAATTCGTGTTATTCTGAAAATACAGTTATATTACGCCATAGTGAAACTTAAAATGATTTGTATAAAAAAGCAAATACATTATCGCATTGGATTAAGGTACGGTTAGATAATCATATGTTAATCCTAAATATATCTAAATCTACGTGCAATATTAATAAAGTATGATATTTTATGTCAACGATTCTCCTTTAAATTATAACCTTCGGCTAAAATTGCGTCTTTTTTTTTTTTGTGACTTTGGCACTCATGATGTTATTAACTGTAAGTGTAATGTTTTACTAACAGTGGAAAAGCATACATTTTTGGGTGTTATTTTAGATAGTAAATTCAAGTATCATAATAATAAAATATTGATTCCTAATTGACGAATATTTTTCTTTTTCTTTGATGACGTAAACCGATACTTAAATATTATTATAATAATAATAATAATAATAATATGTTTTGATCAAATCGCAAATGGTTCATAAATATATATATATATATATAAAATAATAAAAATGAAAGATTTGCAACTCTCCGTATTAATATGAAAATAATTCATAAAAAAAAAAAATAAATAAATTTCTTTGATGCGATCTATTTTCAGTTATAGGATAATGTTAACACTTAGAAAAATATTAAAGTAACAATTAATGATATAATAAATATTTTATTATATACCTGAGTTTTATAGTACCAACAAGATTATCTATGATGAATTTAATGTGCAACATTTTGACAGGTTATTTTATACCAATCTGTTATTTTTATTATATAAGCACGGGCATCAATTGATAATATGTTAAACTATGCTTATAATACGAGATGTGTTTAACAGCATAAGTTATTTTTTTGTTTGAATAATTGTATTGATAATGTCCAATCTCTAATGAACTCAACTCTCCCATCACAGGCTTGACTTACAGGGAGTGTTGCATATTTATATTGTTTTGCTTACATTATGTACAACTGATCTTGCAAACAAATAAATACGTATATATTTTATTGTTATATTGTTATCTCGACTTAAAAAAAAACAATTTACCCGAAAAACACGTTTTTGGGTTAAAGTAAAAACTCGACACAAATATTACAAATCGTACGGTTCTTCTAAACGGTCACGGCGTTCGAAATCGAATTACCGAAGAAGAAGAATATTGCGCGCGTCCGCGTCCGCTTATTATAGAAATTAGAGGCGCTATACTCGTGTGGTATTTCGAAAATTGTCGATTTCGATTTAATCATGGGTACATCGGTCGATTTTAATTTTAAATCCGATCGCGATGCGCTCGCCGACACGTGGATTTAATAAATAGTTGTTCTATCCGTGATACAGTGTATTATAATGTTACGGTTTTATGTTTTACGGTTATCGCAGGTAATTTATAGTAATGCATAGTAAACCGCAACAAGTTCCGCATGTCCGAAACATGTATATTATAGAATAGGTACGGTACACTTACATAATAATATTCTACTCTACCTATGTTCTGTAAAATCCGGTCGGTCACTATAATACCTTTCCTAACCTCAAACTCCCGTCCGCATAATAATAATATTATTATTGTTACTATTTTTTTTTTTTTCGCGAGAAAGGGTTCAAGTCAATTTTGATAATTTTCGGTTCACGTAGATACGTCAATTTTCAGTATTAAACTTCAACCCGCATCGAATGGTAGGTGCTTACCTATCTCTGTTATACACATTATACGTATGTGTGGGTTTTTTATCGAAATATTATTATGTAATACGTTTGAAAATAATAATTTTTATTTGAACATTTGGTTTTTTTTTTATGATAATAAAAGGCTCATGTCAATAAGTTTCCCTATATCAAATCGAAATGCAAAAGAAAATGAATCATAATATAAGTGGGTAAATTTGTATGGTCTTAAATATAGTTTAGTACAATGGCGTGCCAAAGTATTTATTTATTTTTTTTTTTTAGGTCATTGCCTCATAACCAATTTTAGTGTCCAAATATGTTTAACTTTGATTATTTGTAAGCATTTGATATTTTTTAGTTTTTATTTGGTAGATATTATACGGAAAAATGTTTTGACCTAACAGAAATTCTTGAAAACTGAATACGAGGTTCGTTATAATTTATAAATTGTAAAGTTTTGAAAAAAAGTTGTACGTAACGTAATAGTTTTTTATAAAAATATTAAGATCAGATTTTAACAAAAATCGTACAAATTACAAAACATTTACAACCGAATTTTTCACAGAATTGTTTTACATTGGTAATGGTTTATTGTTACTTACGGATATTATATGTATCTTATATTCTCAACTTTTCATTTACAGCAGTAGCACACCCGTCATCAGCTCTCTTTTATATAGGTTTTGCAAACCTATCGGCTATCGCAGTATATAATATAGGATATGAACTGCAAAAGAAAAATAGGATGCCTGCAGCTAAAAGGATAAACAAAACACGGACTATAAGGATTTATATTATATCGTAAAAAATAAAGGTTTTTAGGTAAGGTATATAATGTAGTTATTGATTCTTGCTTTTTTCTGATTTGTAACGAATAAGAACAAATACGCCCCCACCCCATGTGTATTCCATTTTGTTTTTCTAAATAAATAAATAAGAAATTAATTATTACTAATTTCTTACTTTTAATATTATTTTCTATGTTTTAAAAACGAGAAACCGAACGAATTTCTATTTAAAAGTAACATTATTTGACTGTATTACTTATATGGTGTTGTTCGGTGTATATAATATAAAGTGGTTTTTCTTTTTTCCCTCGAAAAGTCACGTAAAATATGAACAATAAAAACGTAAAAGGTTTAACGAAACTTACATTATTTGTATTTGTTTCGATAAAAGCCCCGAATTTTCAAAATAAATACTTTTGTTTATAGAAACACGTACAATAACGCTGTACATTTATAAAAACGATCGGAATATTTATTTCTATAGGCCGAGTTTTTACTAAAAATAGTGTGTATATGGTTCTATGTTTGATTAAGTACAAAAATACAAAGATGTATGTTCTAATTTTGGCGATCGCAACTTAATCGTCCTCTCGATATTGCAGTTAAACTGATTTTTTTTTTTCTTTTACACCTATTATTGCTTAATTTACGATAAATTTGATTGAATCGCATGATTCTTACAGCGAGACGCCTACGAAAGATCCAATATATATTTTTCCAAACGCACTAGCAGAATATTATTTGTTTCGCACGATACACTTATTGACAAATATACATTTTGTCACAGTCTGCTTTTTCCAGGTGTAAACACACAAATCAATTTCAGTTGAATCTGCGAGAAAATAAATTCTATTTTTATTGAAAAAAATGTAAATATTGAATAACTAAAAAAAAAAAAAATAAGTGAGTTAGCAAATATAAAGCAGGTATAAGGTATAAATAATATCAATGCATATTCAATTTAAGAATATTTTGATTAATTATATTTAACAATATCGATTAACTAAAAGATATTTAAAAAGCAATTGATTTATTTACGAACCACTTGGTTTTTTTTTTCCAAGAAGTAAACATAGATTTAATTTTTGTAAGTTTAGCGTTTCGAGAAAAAACACGTTCAGCTAATACTAAAAGTAAACAAAACGAATAACAATACATAGTTCAATAAAATTTACAGAATATATTTTAAAATTCTATTTTTGACATGTAATGAAGTTTTAATTTCTATGAACACCGGTACAGCACACGCAGTCGTTGTGTGACTTAACTTATTGCATTTTAATTTAATCCACGCGTAACGCATGCATGCAAACGCATTTTAAAGACGCGTTACGGAGATGCGCATCTAAACAATGTGATCCGTTTTATCACGATCGGGCGATTTTCTCGAGGGATTTTAACTGAATTTAAAAAACTTTTTTTTAGATAGTTTTATCAAATCGAAAGTTTATGCCCATTGAATGTAATGAGTATAGAGGTTAAAAATTGTAAACAATGTCAAAATAAATCGATTTCAATAATGATACAAGAAAAAACGTTCAAAATGATACATTACGACCGTAACGGGTACACGAGCGTGATAAAAAAATCACCTACTACGCATATTACATCGATGTAACTGTTATTCAAACTCGTTATTTTAAACATACGTATCGAGTATCAAAATAAAACGAGTATCGAATTCTAAACTTTACTGGTATCGCACATCTCTGGTTTTAACGTTTGCACACCAGTGTAATAATATAATATTTTAGATTTCGAAAATTCCGTTTCTCCTTATTATTAATCTTAATGAAACCAACGCACAACATTCAAATTCGCAGCTATGTACGTGCGCATATTTATAATATTATCGAACGAATGTCTCGCGTGTTTTGTACAATAATAATAATAATAATATAATATACAGGTACGTCTTCGAGATTCTTCGGCAAATGTATAAAGCCAATACATATTAAACAATCGAAATACAAGCAGCGACCTTGTGTGATGTTTGTTATCGGCACGATAAAATGGAAATTTGACGTTGCGGGTGATATAACGATACGCAATATACATAAATATGTATGCGTAATAGTGATATACGTGTCTTATGGATGGTATAATTTATATATTAAGTCATTCGCGATTAAACTTGAGAAAATTTATATTATAATAATGCGACGCGAAACGCGCGTTTTGTATTCGCCGCGACGACGGTGTATCGTTTTATAAATTATTATCATTATTATTATTATTAATATTAATATTTGTCGGTTAGGATATTATACCTGTGCGTACAACACAGAACGACTCGGTTAATCTGAAGTTGTTTCGTGCGGGCAGATGAACTCGATCGATAAACTTTGAGAGTTCGCGCATATAAATATCTTCCGTGCGAGGCTTTAAATTATACCTGTCTGTTTTTTTTCCCCCTTCTGCCGCACGAATTTATCGCGGAAAAGTCATAAAACGAAATATATTATCTACGTTGGGGTGAAAACGAGCCCCCAAAATATTACTCGCGTTATACGGCACCGCGGTGGAAATAACATATTTTTATTCTTCTTCTTCGAGTATGGTCGCTAGGACCGTTCCGTCAAACGCCCTTTCCACCAGTCATGTTTGCCGGACAATCGCTACTTCCGTTCTAAACCTCCACACAAAGCATCCGCAGTTCTTATGGCACGTCTTTCCACTTCACACTGGGGATTTCAGTGGCCTATCTCCAGTTGGGTTATTCTCTGGCACTACGCGCAGTAAAGGATTCTGGCTACGTCAAGTATGTCCAGTCCACTGTAGTCTTCTATATTTTATTAAACCGTTCCATATGTCACAGCCGGACGTAATAATGTTTCATACACATCTTAAAATTGCTCGATAACGATCTAAATCTTAGCAGTTTTATAAAACTAAAAAATTCAGTTATCTAAAATGTATTGCGATAGGCTACATGTTTTACGTGTGATCAAATAGACTACTCAGGTGGAATATTATAGGATTCACGATTCTGGAAAATTTGAGCAATAAAAAATTGTTTAAAAAAGTTGTCCTAGGATAATGAGTACGGGTGCAGCCACTGTTATAGGTAATTTAATAAATACCCGTAAGCAATGATAAACCATTGTTAACGAAAAAATGATTCTGAGCGGAGTTCAGTTGATAGTGATGTTTTGTCAACAATATATATATATGCATATATATATATATATATATATATATATATATATATGTCATATTGTGGTAAAATAATTAACTAGGCATTGTATATTTTCTTCAGTATTATTTGATAAATGTACCGATTTTTTTCGTTTTTCCTACCTTTTTCTCGGTTTTCCTATGTTTTTTCCCGGTTTTTCACATTTTCTGGGAAAACTCTTGGAAATATCGAAAAATGGACTCTTTTTAAGTATCTCTCCATACAACCTTTTCAGAAAAGATACTACAATTAAAAATCGGAGCAAGATTTCTGATAGGAAAGTTGCGCTCTTATAATAAAAAAAAAAAAAAAAACATTTTTATTCAGAATCTAAAAATATATTTTTTATAAACTTGTTTTTCGACAAATACAAAAAAAAAAAGTTCTAAAAAACTATTTAAGATTAGCTCTTGTGTTAACAAAATACCATTAGATATTCACTGCACGCATTCATTCCGGAACCACCACGTCATCACTATCAAACATCAACACATTCTTGACAAACGATTTTCGCGACGGTACTTAATAGGTAAGTTTGATGTTATATTGACGCCACCACATTTCTGTTGATATGAAACAAAAAGTTGATGCTATTATACTAATGGGTGTACTACTGTTTTAGGGGTAGTTGGGAAGATAAGACACATGAAATTATTTAATTTATATCTGTACTCAATAGTAAGTCGTTGTTAACAAAATACGATTCTGAGTAATGTTCGGTTAAACATAATTTAAAATATCGTAATTTTTACGGTTTAATCTAAGTTTGAACTCAAAACGTTTATAAAATAAACAATTACGATATACTCGACTTTTTTTTATCACTAAGTACGAGTATCTTATGATAAACCTCGTCTAATATTTTCAAGCATTCGACTCGGAAAACAGAGATAAAATATCCACATTAAATCTAATAAAAACTAAAAATTCGAAAATATCGAATTCCTACAAATAGATCGAAAACCACCAATTTTACAATTTTGACAATTTTACGTTGACGGCGTCTATGAAAAACCAATAAATAAGTATTCTATTACATTCCTTGCTGCGTTCAGAATCTAAAATTACCAGAGAAAATATTTTCAAAGTTAAAAACAATCATTGACAAAGTTTATGCTTTTAATTAAGTTATTGTGTTCTATATTCTAAAGTGTTTGTACAAATCTTTTTTAAAATTAAAAAAAATATCCTAAATATGAATTTTTCCAAAAAAAAATTATTTTCCTCTAGTTTGTCATAAAAATAATTTTTCCAGTAACTACGATTTTTTTCGGAAATTTCAATAATCAGAAAATATTATTTTGAGAGCTGTACATTTGCAAAACTTAATTATTTCTTTCATTTATCCTATTGTAAGACACAAAGTACAAAGTTCGAATTATTGTATATAAACTATAATATATACACTGAACAGCTACTAATGTAATTTCCCTGCCACCCCCCCTCCCCCTCTATCAGAATTTCACAAATTGTTTAGTGTCAATAACTAGTGTTCAGTTCTTGTGAAATCCTGACCACTTGTTTATATTTCTTATTACAACTGTTTGCCGATAAAGTTAAACTTCCCCCTTGTGGAGTTGCGGTAATGTTACCCCAGTCCCTTTAATCTGAATTTTGCAAATACGGCAGCGTTAATAATAATGACTCAATTCCTGTGAAATCCTGACCAGCATTTTATAATTATTACTCTACTGGTTACCAGGAATGTCGAACTTTCCCCGAGTAAAGCTTGATTTTTTTATTATCCCGCCGAACAGTCCAAATCAATTCACTTTTTTTTTTGTATCATTTGTTCATACTTTTTTTCTGTCTGGATTACATTTTCATTTTCCATAATTCCATAGTATACATCATCCTAGTGAAACACTTTGAATATTCAATATATATTAGTCTTACTTTGTGTTAAAAACGCGTTAAGTAATAAAATTATAAGTGTCCAGATGATAATATCAAATTGAATAAAATAATAATAATTCAAAGGCGACGTGTTGTTAGCCGTAAAAAAAAAAAATAATAATAATAATAATAATAATAATGATATAATTGTAAAGCATAAAATAACTACGACTATAATATTATTATGATGTTATTGTGTTATCTGCTCACCTATATATTATATAAAACAAAATAATTACGATTGGCAGAATCAGAACGCGAAAATACACTATAGTATTATACCAAACTATTACTTTCAAAAATCCCACCGACGAACGTTTTATTTTATTTTTATACGAACGAAACGGGCGCCAAGTTTTTTTTGAACACTGCACCAGTGAATACATAATATTTATATAATAATAAAGCGGGTTAGGGGGGGGGAGTCGAGAAAGAGATAGGGAGATAGGGTGGGAAGTAAAAAAAAAAAAAACCATAGCGATGCACTTAAGACTCTTTATAGAGAACGTTTTCAGGTATTGAAGGTTTTTTGATAGATCGGCCGACGTCAGAAACCGCAAAACATTAATCACCCGACTGCCGGTTATACGCAGACTCTACAGCGGCGGAACAGCACTCGGACCACTCGTATATATACACAACATTACTCATACAGTTTCGCGGTTATGTCGTTTTTCATACCGATATTCTATAATTTTTTTTTTCTTTCCGTCTCCCTATAGATTTCGTGTACATCAGAAGACATTTAACCGGGCCGAGACGTCGGGCGAAGAGCTGCGGCAATTAATCAGTAAACACCCGCACGCCTTGCACACGCAATATTATTGTGTCGCGTAACGACGGCCTCGTTCGCCAATGAAAACATAATCAATTTTTTTTTGTCCACAGACGTCGTTACCGTTTTCCCAAGAGTGGAAAAAATTGTTTTTAAACATAAATCCAGAGAGCCGACATTCGTCGGGCGAGATATTATAGCGAGAAATGTCCCTTCCTCGGTATTATATTTTGTATTCGTTGGAAGTTTAAAAAGTGTTCTGGTATGATATAGGGAAATTCAGTTAGAATCACGAACGATCGTTTTGCGAACTAAATACCTACGCGATTCTGAGAAAAGGCATTTCGAAATTAACGGTTTATTTTTTTTTTAATTTGTAAATGTATTGTCAATTGGGTAAATTTGAGTTTCGTGAAAAATTGAATGTCATGCGCTTCTAAAAAACAAACGAACATATCTGGTATATTAGGGTGTACTACTCCATTTGAATGTTAATTTTTTGCTGTGTGCCACTAATGTTAATGGAATTGTGAAATGTCGGATAACCAGAAAATTACATGGAACCGCAAAAGATGACTAAAAATAATGTTATTAATAAAAATCGAAAATATAACACAAACTTTTAAATAAAAATAACAACATAGCTACACTAATAACTTATGTTAACATCAAATAAAACAATTAACTTCTGTAGACTATTTTAAATAGTTTGCCAAACTTTTGTATTCTACAGAGCATGGAACTATGCAGTTGTGAAAATGACAGCGATACGATAGACGCACACATCAAGGATAATAATAAGCCGTGTAGTTGTCGATATGAAATCGTTAACTGTGTCTAATATAGAGGGAAAAAAAGAAGAGATCACGATCATAGTGATTGACCAGGCAGAAACCAACGGAAACCAATCCATGTGAAACGGATCCCGATAGTTGTAAACCAAGTGGACAACGTGTCAAATTGCTGGAACCAGGGACCAGCGATATAAAAGTAATAAGTTTTCCAAATTGAATACTATTATTTTAATATACGCAGGTAATAAACACATGTATTTGAATGCATATATCTAATCTTTTTTAATAACATGAACAAAGAAAAATTGAAATATCGTCAATATTTTTAATAATACCTTCCCATTTTACAGAGTACGGATATGTATAATGCGCCGACACCTCTGGTTAAAAACAAAAAAACAAATCGAACAACAGAAAGAAGAAGCTTTGAAGGTGCTGAAATCTTTGACCGACAATATTTCGATCCCAATTAAAGAAGATATAAACAAAATAAAAAACATTTTTATTTCGTTAATATTTTAACTAAACTGGTCTTTACTACAGAATATTTACAATAGACCTTGTAATATTGACAAAGACCTGGTAGAGTCAGACATCAAGGGAAATACTCCGTGTAGTACGGAAATCAACGATATATCAGCTGCTACTACCATTATGAAATCTCAAATTGTGTCTGAAGAGAAGAATATGCCTGAAAGTCCTGAATCAATATTTTTAACAATGATTGACCAGATTGAAAACAATACAGTCTCCAAAATAATTTGTGAAACCTGAGACAAGCGATAAATAGGTATCGAGTATTTTATTTTTCAGTGTTTTTGAATAGAGTGATATATTAAAGTCCAGTCAAAATCAAAACAAATAAAATAGAACTGACACTGCCATCAGCTTATAGATATACTACTTTTGTAGGTGAAACATTAGTTGTAATATGTGTTTAATTAATTACGATTTTCGTCATAATATCAATATCTATAAAAAAAAGTTACTATATTACACTTAACTTCATTTTTAACATCCAAAAATACTTTGAAAAAACTTTGGTGTTAAATTTTCAAACATTTTAGATCACGCAAAACAATTATATCCAAATAAAAACTAAAAAAAAAAACTTGAAAATGTAAAAGGCTTTTAAACGGCCTAAAAATCATCTGAACGTTTTCGAAAATTTGATCATGTTCTTCAAAGGTTAAGTCAGACCAATGAGTAAGTCTGTTAGAATGTAAGGTCTCTAAAATTATGTTTAATTTAATTTTAACAAAAAAAAAATACGAACATAATTTGCATGATGAGAGTGGATCACTCAATAGCGCGAGCATTTTGTTTTTCAGGAGATGTTTTGTTTATAATAATTTCTTAGCACATATTATAGGTCAGTGCAATACTCCCTAGCCATTTTTTTTTCAGAAAAAATTCTATACTTGAAATTCGGAGCAAGATTTGTGGTAAAAAAATAAAATCAAAATTAATAAAGCTTTTATTGTCCTAAACATGCCCGGTTTTCCCAATTATAACAAAGATTGTTGAAAAAATCAAAAATCAACATCTTAATTCTAGTTGAAACGCCAACTAGATCCAAAATTCTAAAAAAAATCTCTCTTGTCATTGATTGAATGAGACAAGTTAAATGGTAGAAAAGTTGTTGACAGTAAAAAAATTTTAAATTTAAAAAAAATAATAATAAAAATCGCACTTAACGTAGCAAACCAACACGTAACTTACTCTGCCCAGAATCCAAAAACCAAAGCAAACAAATATATCGTATAAAAACAAAATGCAATTTATTTGTCGTCGCGATTTTCCTGCGGTCCCCGTGTTTTGTTCCGTCCCTGAGGCGTACGTATACAGGTACCCCTACATGCACACTGTGTAGACAACGCACACTGTGTATTCTGTTTATGTTTCTTCTACGCCGCTTTCGACGTAGATACCGAGTTGTTATATGTGAACGCCGAAAGCACTAGGAACTTTAATTACTGAATTATTACAACCGCCGTATATATATTATATATGTACGGGGTGTATCCGCAGGATTTGACAATTCCGTGCGGTATGTAAATGCATAGGCAATTACTACGCCTACCGGATGTACGCGGTATGCGAGTATATGTAAAATATACAATGCAAAATCGAAAAATTGTGACCGACTTATTACAATATACAGGATGATTCACCAAGCGTGCTCGATCCATTATTTCGGTTAAGTTTCGCGTGCATTCAAACTCTACGATGAGATATTTCACTTTTGAATTCAGGTAGGAGAGCAGTGGAGCACTGACGTAACGCCGCCCGCCGTGCCGCCCCACACAAATGATGCTCCACTACTCTCCCTCTACCTAAACTTGAAAGTGAAATATCTCGTTAACGAGTTGACGGGAATCAAAAATGTTGACACTGATTTCGGATTTAAGTACTCCATCTGTTTATGGAATCTTTGATACAGGTTCTGATTTTTAAAAACCAAAGTTGGTATCGCCACAGGATGACGCTTAAATGTTGTGATAAATCTAAGTGTTCAAAAATATCGGCTTTATCTAACAACAAAATAACTTATTTTTATTAAATAATCAAATAATAACAATGATAGATTACAGTCGCACATTTTCTGGAAACTATTACATAGTGATGTGTACCTATGGTTTTTTTTTTTTTGGTGCTCAACTCAAAAACCTCGCCTAACCTAATCAGCAAAACTTTCATAATAGTAAATATCGATTATATATTCAAGTTTGTACTGTATATTCACCATTAATATAGGGTAACACCACCAGTCACCGTATTTTTTTCTACGCTGAATTTATTTAAATTTATTTTTTATAAAATTACACATTGAAAAATTATTTCGTTTTTATTACGAATATTATAATATTTTCCGTGACTCGTTACCAAAATAATAATGTATACATATTTTTTATAACGAACAAGTTCGCTCCACATAGATTATGTTTTAAAAACGTTATTTAAATTATATTTTACGAAAACGTTATGATATTATTTTAGTACTCCCTATTCCGCGGGATAATAATTTATAAAGTTCTTATAAAAAAAAAAAAAAAAAAAAAACCGTTTCTTCGTATCATTATTTCGGTGGTATTATCACATTTTGTAAAATTATTCAATTCGCAACAATAGTTTGTTCAATAACGGTTAAATAATATTCTGACAATCGCTCACTCGGTTCTTTTAAAGTTGACGGAATCACCGAAACGCGAACACGATAGAAAATAAGTATGTTTCACCTTTTAACCCACATCATAATATTATTTCACATATAAAAGTTATAATCTATAAAGCGGTGAAACGCCGATTCATTTTTTATCGATATTGTGTTGAATATTATAACGATGTAAACATAATATTTACGTTTTCATGACGGAACCAATTCGAGTGGTGTTCGTTAAATTATGAATGTGAATTTGATTCACTATAAAAATGACGGCTGTATATAAATCATGTAATATGTGGATTTGTTTTCCTCCATTTCTCTAATAAAAAATTCTCCCTGTCGGCCGTTCTTATTTGTGTTAAAACCGACAATAATATGCTATCGAGTACATACGTGTATGTATACTTACTGTACCTATACCTATACTGCCTATACGTTCATGCAATTCAGTCTGGTATAAAAACCGTAGTACAAGCTGAATTAGATAATATAGGCGTTCATAATTTGTTTTCAAAATCTGACGGGTCGGACGCGCCAGTTGTCAATTACATTTTCCTCCGTCGATAGTTTCTGTATTAGCTTTCCCGGCGGTCACGTTGGAAAACCCGCGAACGCGTGTGATTGTAGAGTTTGAACAGCAAAAAACGGCAAATCGTGTCTATCAACCCGTGAGATATTTTTCGACGCCGATATTTGTTATGGCACGCTGTGGAAGTTCAGCAATTAGTATCGAATATAATCAAACACGATATAAATCACGCATCACACATAGCACATTTCTATACGTTACGGTCATTAGGCTCGTACGTTCTGGTATTAAATCCAACAGCACAAAATCGGTTTTTGTGTACGAAAAGTACGAATATAACGAAATTAACCGTAACACGTATGATATATGTGATATAATCGAATTATATATTCATCACATAACCCCGTGGCATAAACAAACATTTCATTGGTTGGTTAATAAAATGTGTCTTCTATTATTGCATTTAATTATTTATTTATAATACTTGGGTTTACCTAAGCAATACCCAGACCACCAAGTTGTAGACTTTTTCGCAGGTTCGGCCACTTTTAATGTCGTTTTATAAATCTACGACCAAAATGAATAAGAATTTTAAAACAATATAGGTGTAAAGTCCGATTGATCATTCGAATATTAATTTGATATAAATTCGCAGGCATGATCGACCGTAAATTTGTGATGATTATTATTATAGGTATCTAAATGAATTTCAAAACTTTTATAAAACAGCCGAATTTGTTCGGTATTTTGTTCACTGACGGTTAAATAATGTGAAAACAAATATTCTAAAAAAAAAAAAATAACAAAATTAATTAAATAAAAAAAAAATCCAACTGAATCCGATGTCCGGCTGTTTGTGCGTTTGCATTTTGTTAATTTTTTAATTTTTTTTTTTTTTTCGGTTTTAACGCTAAATTCATTAATTATACGCGGCATTCGGCGAGTCTCGTGTCATTGAACTTTTAGATAATATTATTTTATTCTTTTCACCACAGTACAATTAGTTTAATATTTCAGTTCATTATTACGATTAGTTATCACCAAAATCGATAAACAAAATATTCCGATTTGGCCGCACTCCTTAGGCTTCAACAAGCTTTAACATAATCTTTTTCTTTTTTTTCACCATATCATCCCTTCTCATTCTCTGATTTCTCTAAGGTCTTCTCTCCACAGTGCGTTCTGTTATAGCACTATCCCCATAGTGGATGTGGGTTTTAGCTACTTGATTGTTATATATAAATAATACTGACAATTCCACAGATGTAAGTGTTGGTTATATTATTGTTCTTCGTTTTGTCGTCTGTTCGTCATCGCTCCTCAATCTTCGTGGTCACATAGATTCATTAGAGCTTCTTCTTTCTTATATACAGGCATAGGCGGAGATTGGAAGGTTAGGCGGACTGGGACATTAAATAGACCTTGAAATTCTGCAAGAGAGATAGTACGTTAACGATACAATTGGATCACATAAACTTTTACCGTGTTATTTCATTATTAATCTGCGTACTAAGCCACCATATTCCCGAGTATCATTTTTATATTTTTTATATCGGAAATATTCTCCATATTTGTTCCACAGTATTTTAGTTTTTCTTGCTCTTTCGCCGCAATGTCTAATATCGAATGAATGATACCGCCATCTCAAGACGTCAAAATTTAACAACCGTGCTCATTTTTTGTACTATGTAGGTATCTCACACCACGGTGCGTTCGTTCAAGACCATAACTGTACCACCACTTTTTCAGTCTTCCGTCTTCTAAAATTCTTACCATTTCTAATTCCTCTCTCTTTATTGAGTGCCCAAACCATCTCGATCTATTTTCTCTCTTTGTGTTTACTATCGAAGCTACGCCAAAGCTATCTCGTATATACTCATTACTTGCCCTATCTTCTCTCGTCACTTCCATCATCGACCTAAACATTCCAGTGGCTACACTCATACTCTGCTTTATTTTTTCTGTCTACCACCTAATACTCAGAACCATAGAACTTAGTCAGTCTCATCTCACTTTTGTAGAACTTAAGTTTAAGTCTCATTGGAATTCTTTTGTCACATCTGACACTTCTCTCCGCTT